CTGTCCCGTCTCCCTGGGCTCCCTGGGTCTCTGTCCCTGCTCCCTGGTCTCCCTGGGTCCCTGTCCCTGCTCCCTGGTCTCCCTGGGTCCCTGTTCCCACTCCCAGGTCTCCCTGGGACCCTGTCCCTGCTCTCTGGTCTTCCTGGGCCCGGGTATCTGCTCCCTGGGGTCCCTGGGTCCCTGCCGGGCTGGCAGCCTCTTCTCTCGCTACAGCTGCCAATGGGCTCCTGTGTCTCACTGTCCATCCCCAGCTTCCTGCTCTGCCAGTAGAATTCTGGGTCTCTCTGGGAGGCTGTCAGGAGTTGTTGGGAGAAAGCAGTGCTGAAGGGCCCCCCACCTGCTCCCTCACCCCTGGCCCAAAGCGCCCAGCACACCTGGCAGGTTGGCATCCCCAGTGCTGAGGAAGCCCAGCGGCCCAATGCGGTAGTTGAAGGTGACCACAATGACGTTGCCCCTCGTGGCGATCTCCTCCCCGTCGTACAGATAGTCACTGAAGACGTTAAACCCTTGGCCGGCCCCAAAGATGAAGGCTCCTCCGAAGATCCAGATCATGACAGGCAGGTTCTGGGAAACTGAGGGAGGAGAGCAGGCCCGGTGACCCCAGCTGCCCCTCCCCATCCCCTCTGGGTGCTTGTTTCAGGGAATTTCAGCTCTGGAGCCCACACACAGCCAAGGGGCTGGGCAGGGCTGGGCCTCTGGCTTTCTGGGCGCTTTCTGCAGGTTCAGGAACCTGGAGGGCACGGGGGGGGGCACACCTTCCTTCTTGCCCTGGGGGACCCAGATGTTGAGGTAGAGGCAGTCCTCGGAGCCCTTGGTATTTAACTGGGTGAGAGTGAGTTGCAGGCATCGCTGCTTGAAGTCCTTGGCCTTCAGGGTCCCTGTGGGTGACCAGAAGGCCTGGCGTAAGGAAGGTGGCCCTACCCGCCATCCCAGGCACAGGGCCAGCCCAGCACCCACCCACCCACACCCACCTTGCCAGCCGGGGTGCGGCTGGGGGTTCTCTAGGGCCTTGGGCAGGGCAGCGAAGGGGATGCCCTTGAAGATGTCCACAGAGCGGCCGCCGATGCCGAGGAAGCCGAGCTTCTTGTTGACGCCCTCCACGAAGCCCCCTTCCGTGTGCACCACGCCCAGCTGGGGAGAGGGCCAGGCTCAGGGGGTGCAGGCTGGGTGGGCCAGTGGGGTCGGGCCACCCCAGCAGGCGCTAGAGTTCCAGAAGAGCTTCCAGGTGGGGCCCGTAGTCATGCCCGCCTATAGCTGTGGGTTCCTGTGGAAGCCCTGCTCCTCACCCCGTGGCAGGGCCCTGAGGAAAGAGATCCTGTAGATGCCCCGAGGCTCCTGGCTCCCCCTGGAGGGGCCCCGGCCACTGGCAAGCAGGTGTGTGTTGCCCCTCTCAGGGGCTGGAGGCCGGGGACCGAGCTCCGGGTTTAACTAGACCGAGGTCCAGACTCCTGTTCCGACGCTGGGGGCTGTGATGGGCAACCTGCTGGCCTGCTCAGGGCCCAGCTCCCTTCTGTGCCGGGGCCATGGCCATCTCCAGACAGAGGCAGAGCCGGAGGGCCCTGGTGGCCAAGGCGGACTCCGCAAATCGGCACTGAGGACGCCAGTGACACTGGGGTTTCGGGTACACGGTGCCTTGTTTGTGTTGGGCGTCAGTGCACCCTGTGTGCCCTGGAGAGCGCCTGTCCCAGAACTTATTCGTGGTTTCTGACGTTCAAGTTCGTGGGCGTCCTGTATTTGAGCTGTGCCTGCGCCATCGTGTGCGTGCGGATGCAGGAGCAGAGGAAGGGCCAGGAAAGTGCCCGCTGGGTGTGGGCCCTCGGGGGCTCCTCCTGCCAGCGCCTCACCTGCCTGCCCCCCTTCATCTCGTACCCTCCCTACCTCCCATCCGAGGTGCCCTACCCAGTTCCCAGGCCGGGTTTGGGGAGCAGACAGGGGCCCCTCCTCGTCTTCTGGGCTCTCGCTTACCTTTGCTGCCCTCACTACTGCCAAGCAGCAGGCGAGGCCTAAGACAGCCAGCTCCAGGTGCCCCATGGTGCGTGTGCCTGTCTCATGGCCCCTGCCTCTGAGCAGGGGTATTTATGGGGCGGGACATCCGGGAGACATCCGGGAGCCGGGGCTGGCAGCTGCCTGTGGATGGTTCCCTTCCCTCCCTCCTCCCTCCATCCCTTCCTCCAGGCAGGATAGCTGCCATTTCAGCCAGGCTCAGGGCCAAGGTCATGAGGGTATGGACACACACACACATTCATAGCTGCCCTTTCCAGGCGGGTTCAGGCAAGGCCAAGGTCACAGAGGTGTGTGAGAACACATGCGCACACAAGCATGTGAGCACTCTCTCTCTCTCTCTCTCTCTCTCTCTCGCGCACACACACACACACACACACACACACACACACACACGTGTGCACGGGTGCAGTCATGGTCCTCCCTGCCCATGATCTGCTGATCCCAGGTTCCTGGTGCCCTCAGTGCACCTGGGCTTGTTACTGGGAATAGTCAGGTGGCCCTGGGCAGGGGCTACAGGGACTTGGCTGGGTGCACAGTGCCCTGCATTGTGGCTCATTGACAAGGGCCTGGGCTCACCCTTCAGAGAAGGGGACCTGCTTCCCTCCAGGTCCGGCCTGGCCCCCACCTCGAGCTCGGGAGCCCAGCAAAGGGAGTTCACAGGGGACTGGGCGTGTGACCTCTGGGACAGAGAGGGCTGTGTGCTCCTGGGCAGCCACGTGGCTGAGCCTGGGTCCGAGGGCCCACGGGTGTGCAGTCCGAGCTGGGTGTGGGGACCCAGAGCAGCACAGGGCGGTCCTGCCCTCAGGGAGGGCACCCCTCACACTCAGCACCAGCAGCCCTGGAGGGAGGACTGGAGGCTCAGGTGGGCACAGGTGTGGAGGGAAGGGGGCTCCCGCCCAGCCTGGTGGCTTCCCTGAGGAAGAGAAAGGGCCTGGCTTCAGAAATGCACCACGACCTGGGGCACAGCAGAGAGAAACACGAGAGGTGAAGGAGGGGAGGTGGGAGACAGAGAGACAGACAGAGGGAGAGACAGAGACAATGGAGACACAGAGGCAGTGGGAGAGAGATAAGAGCTGAGTGTGTGAGAGCAGAAAGCCAGCGTGTGGCTCGGGGAGCGTGTCTCACTCAGGAACCAGAGGAAGCTCCATGGACAAACCCAGGGCTCCTGCCTTCTCCAGGGATGGAGGGCGCTCAGGGCCCGGGGACAGCAGAGCCCTCCCAGGCCAGCGGCCCACCCTTCCTTCGCTACCAGGAGCCGTGCTTGTACGCAGGCCACAGCCCGGCTCACGTCACGCCTGGGGCTGTGCCCAGCACCACATGGATCCACAGACACCGGCCACGCTGGCTGCCTGCTGATCCGGAGCACAGGTCTCCTGGGATGCAGGTGGGGAGGGGGCCGCACAGTGGGAAGCAGGAGCCGGGCAGGCTGGGCCTGTGGGTGAGGACCGGGGAGCAAAGGGTTTGAGGGTGCGTTTGTTAACAGGCCTTTGGCCAGCTAGTCCAATTCTGAGAGCCTGTTCTGTAGGAAGTAATTCTGAGTATGTACACATGGCCATGGAGGCCACTCATCACAGAGAGATGCAAATTACAACCACAGTGTTAATCAGCTCACAGGTGCCTTGATGGCCACCATCAGCAAGTCCACAAACGACAAGTGCTGGCCGGGTGTGGAGAAGAGGGAACCCTCGTGCACTGCTGGTGGGATGCGCACCGGTGTGGCCACTGTGGAGAACAGTATGGAGCTGCCTCAGAAAATTAAAAATGGAACTGCCGTATGACCCAGTGATCCCACTTCTGGGAATATCCTACGAATCCTGAAGCACCAATCAGAAAGGATGTGCGCACCCCCATGTTCATAGCAGCGTTATTGTCAATAGTCAAGATCTGGAAACAGCCCAAGTGCCCAACAGTAGGTGAGTGGATTAAAAAAAAAGCTGTGGTACACTTACACTATGGAATAATAAATAGCAGGAAAAAAGAAGGAACTCTTATTCTTTGAGACAGCCTGGAGGGACCTGGACAGTATTAGGATAAAGGAAATAAGCCAGTGGGAGAAAGACAAGTATCACATGATCTCACTGATATATGGAATCTAACAAACAAAATAGAACCACAGACATGGAAGCATGGAACAGAAGGACAGATCTCAGAGAAAAGGTGGAAGGGACGGCGAGAAGAGATTAATCAAGAACTATTAGGCATATATTCATAGACAATAGACAGGGGGAGAGGCTGGGCTGGGGTGGGAGCTGGGTGTAGAGGGGCAGAGAGGGCAAATGGCAGGCATCTGTAATACTCTCAACAATACAATTTCAAAGTAGAGAAAACAGCCTGGCCAGTGTGGTTCAATTGGTTTGAGTGCCTTCCGTGCACCAACACATCACCCTTTCCGTTCCCAATACTGTACACATGGGCCTCAGTCCCCAGCCGGGGGCGTGCAGGAGGCAGCCAATCTGTGTATCTATCAGATCCATTTTCTCTCTCTCCCTAAAAAAGAAAATCAATAATAAAGAAAAATCTTTAGAATAGGCCAATTGACTGGGACAGGAAGTTGAATAGAATAGCAGCAGTTGGGAGAGGGGAGATACTGATCAGTGGACACAAAGTTTCTGTTTGGAGTGATGCAATGATTTGAACTAGATGGTGGTGATGGTTGCACAATAGTGTGACTGCAGTTAATATCACTGAATTGAACTCATAGATCGTTAAACTATCGTATTTTATGTGATTTATATTTTACCCCAATTTTTAAAGACAGTTGCAAGGACCAGCTCCTGAGCCAGGACTGGGCTGCCTTCCAGAAGCATAGTAAGTCCTCCTTTAGAAAACTGCTGTTTGAACTACTCTGTTATTCTTAGGCAGTCTCTTATTCTGTAGGTCAACACTGTTATTGTAGATAGTCCCTTATTCTATAAAATAACTGTTTTAGTTTGAATAATAGAAAAAGATAAAAACTTAGCTGTCTGACCTTGCAAGCTGGCCATCGGACATAACAGGCTAACACTAATCTACTTATATAAAAACCCTGGGTATACCATCACGGCCAGAAGCACGACCAACCTGAAGGAAGTCAGTCCTGCAGGGGTCATCTTGGAAACGGCTTTGCCCTCCCCGAGCTGTTTCCTGGAGGGTGAGTTTTCAGGCAGGAACCCGCCCTCGGAGCTGAGCATGGAAGTGAAATGATTTGTAATGGATCTATTATTGAAGCTACCTTTGGAAATACTATATCTATAGATCAGTGGTTCTCAACCGTGGCTGCACATTAGAATCACCTGGGAATCTTTTTAAAATCCTGATTTCTGGGCCTCGTGCTCCCGGAAATTCTGTTTCTTTGTTACTAATGTTGTGGCCCCACCCCATAACAAAGAAACAATTTCCGGAGGATGTGGCCCAGAAATCAGGATTTTAAAAAGATTCCCAGGTGATTCTAATGTGCAGCCAAGGTTGAGAACCACTG